CCACCCCCTTCCCCTTGGCAACCACACATTTGTATTCTATGTCTGTGAGTTTGTTTCTGTTTTGTATTTATGTTCTTCTTCTTCTTCTTTTTTTAAGATTCCACATATGAGCGATCTCATATGGTAGTTTTCTTTCTCTTTCTGGCTTACCTCACTTAGAATGACATTCTTCAGGAAGAGCATCCATGTTGCTACAAATGGTGTTATGTTGTCAGTTTTTATGGCTGAACAGTATTCCATTGTATAAATATACCACATCTTCTTTATCCAGTCATCTGTTGATGGACATTTAGGCTGTTTCCATGTCTTGGCTATTGTAAATAGTGCTGCTATGAACATTGGGGTGCAGGTGTCTTTTGGAAGTAGGGTTTCTTCTTGATATATGCCCAGGAGCGGGATTCCTGGATCATGGTAAGTCTATTCCTAGTCTTTTTGAAGAATCTCCATACTGTTTTCCACAGTGGTTGCACAAAACTGCATTCCCACCCGCAATGTAGGAGGGTTCCTTTTTCTCCACAGCCTCTCCAGCTGTCATTGTCGTTTGTGGACGTTTGAATAATGGCCATTCTGACTGGTGTGAGGTGATACTTCATTGTAGTTTTGATTTGCATTTCTCTGATAATTAGTGATACTGAGCATTTTTTCATGTGCTTATTGATCATTCTTCCTTGGAGAATTGCTTATTTAGGTCTTCTGCCCATTTATGGGTTGGATTGTTTCTTTTTTTCTTATTAAGTCGTATGAGCTGCTTATATATTCTGGAGATCAAACCTTTGTCGGTTTCATTTGCAAAAATTTTCTCCCATTCCATAGGTTGTCATTTGGTTTTACTTATGGCTTCTTTTGCTGTGCAGAAGGTTGTAAGTTTAATTAGGTCCCATTTGTTTATTCTTTTATTTCTATTGCTTGGGTAGACAGTCCTAGAATGTTTTTGAGATGTATGTGAGATAATGTTTTGCCTATATTTTCTTCTAGGAGGTTTATTGTATGTTGTCTTATGTTTAAGTCTTTGATCCATTTTGAGTTGATTTTTGTGTATGGTGTAAGGGAGTGTTCTAGCTTCATTGATTTACATGCTAAATGTTGTAAACTAAACTGTCCAGTTTTCCCAACACCATTTGCTGAAGAGACTGTCTTTATTCCATTGTATATTCTTGCCTCCTTTGTCGAA